TCCTTTTATTGCTTTATACTTTTCAACTTATATCAATATAATTTAATTGCTAATAAAATAATTGTTGAGAATTAGAAGCAATTGGTATTCACTTTTCAATTCCTTTCAAGTTTCCTGCTGCGTTCGGGAATTCATTATCATTTTATCTTTGTTGTTTATGGAATATTAAACAAAGATAAAACGATACCTAGATATATCCAGATGAAGTTTCTAAACGCAGCTTTGTAAGATTCTTTAACGTTGTATCTTGGATATTTCTTAAATATGTAATTTACATAAAATTAATATATAAAAATTATTTATGTGATATATTAATTTATATCTATTATTGCATTGTTTAAAAAAATTTAAATATTCACATTTTATAATGAAAGATTCTTGATAATGAAGATGTTACGTTTTTTATTAATCTAAATATTTTCTACGTTATTATAAAGTAAATTTATTTTCAGTTATAAAGGTTATTTAATGTCTCACATGATTTCCTTTTCACTTCTTTATTCATATAGCATTAAAACAGTGGAGTTAAAAGTATTTATATGTTAAATACGATTTTTAATGAAAAGGAATAAAATCATGCAGATAATAATTACTTTAAATATAAGAATTGATATTATTGATGCATTAACTAAATGTTCTACACGTTTATACTGATAACTATAACATTTATCTTAATTTGATATGTAAATTCCCCAAAATATTCACTTTTCATAATATTTCAATTGTATCGATTATTTGTGTTTTACGAGAATAAACGTTCAACAAACGTTTGTTCCTCTAAATTGCTTATGAGAGTACTTTACTTTAAAGTGTACTTTTTGCTTCATCGCGCTCTATTATATTTATATTGTATCATACACTCTATAACTGCATTCAAAATTTCATCCAGTACACATCCCAATGTTGTACTTTTACATCAAAATATACATGTTTTGTTTTCCTATTTATTATTTTTTCATATATTTTTTATTTTATATGTTACGAAACCATTATACATGTAAAATCCGTATCCATGATTGTGACTGTTGTTCCTTCCGATGTTTTGTTATATAACAATTTTCCTAGAAAATCAACGAAAAACAAATATCTCGTTTTGTATTAAATTCAAGAAGTACGTATTAAGAAAGTGTATTTCCATTAACGATAACATTTTTAAGCAGAGGTGCTACTATATTATGTAGTTAATACTTAGCAAAACATACAATCCATTTATTTTTGGAATATGAAATGTCAGTAAGTTTTATTGTATAAAGCATTTTATTGTTATCTTAAAAAATGTAAATTTTTACGATTAATTTCTTTTTAATATATATTTATAGATACATATGGAGAGCAGTAAAACATGTCACCATGAAATACTTGTAAACGATAGTTGAGAAAGCCAATCAAATATTTGTATTATATATTAATGCGTATATATTATATTTAAAAAAAAAGAATTAATGTTCTATAATTTTATTTTACGCTTATAACTTGAGATTTTCACGTAAATTAAAACAAAAATGTTTATTTAGTTTTAGAAGAGGTATAAGTAATTATAAAACAGATTGCGGGGCACGACCAAAAATATTGCATTTTATTTCGTAAGTTTGTTAATCTTTCTTCCCCTATATAACTTATACATTTA